ATAAAAATATTATCGTACTTATGCTCTTTACTGTGAACATCATGAGGAGATGGAAGGTGACAACTGTAGGAAGATTCAAAACCTTCCAGGAGCCTAAGTAGATTGGTACCTAAAATAAGAGTATTTGCCTAGCTCCTATGATGCTTACTACTTATATGTATGCTTCTGATGGAAAAATGGCTATTGGTGCTTTTCTTTAGGCAAATGAGCTATTTTCTGTATATGCAAGTGTTTATTTTTAAGCATAGAAAGGTCAAGGTGAATATATTTAGAATAACAAAACACCAAAAAAAAAAATCCGCTGTGAACTGTTGATGTTTGGTAACAGTTCTCAGCTCTGCTCTTCCTTCTCTTTCTGTGTCACTACTCAGAGACACTGTGTCTGCCAATTTGAACTTGGATTCCTGTCACTTTTTGTGTGGTTGGGATTTTTGGGGAGGGAGGTTTGGAAAAAGTCTTTCTCCCTTCAAGGATTGCAGTTAGATGATCTTAGAAGTGTTGCTGGTATTCTATTGAAATTCTGTTTGTTCTTTGACAACAGGTTTTAGAGCTGACTCAGAAATACTGTGAGGAGCGGGAAATTCCTTTTCCAAAAATCAAATTGAGTGAGGAAGACCGAAAGAAGCCAAGAGAGTGTTACATGTTTGTGGATGATGATAACCCAAAGGCTCCAGTTGTGGTCCATTTCCCATTGGTGAATGACACCTTCCAGAAATACAAAGCTCCAGGTAGGTAAAGAGCTATTTTTACAGTCCTTTAGCTGTGGTGATGGGGAAAGTATCCCTCCTTTCTTTCTTCTTAGTATTACTCTGTAATTGTAAAATATTTACTTTTAAGATGGAATCAGCTTCCACTAGTTTTTTGGAAGGGAGAGTGGGAGAGGAGGCTGACAGTTTAAAAAAAAAAATGAATCTAAAGGCTGGAAGAATCAAAATTAGGCAATGTTTTTGCTTCTTTCTGAATCTTACTGTCCTGATACCTGGTCTTATTTCTAGTTACTCTGAATATATAGGAAAGCACTATAAATAGGATTAAATAATAACTTTTTTTTAGTGGATATGAATAAACCATTAAGCAACAAAGTGTTGTGGACCAATCTTTGTCAGATCATGTAACTCAATGCTAAGTGTCCTGTACCCTTGTAGTGTAAGGTAAAGTGATAAATGATCTCTGCTTCATTTAATGTGATTAATACAGACCATAAGGCCCACCTCAGTCTATCAAACAAGGGCACTGGGATGAAACATAAAGCTATATCTTTAAGAAGAGGCAAACAAAATTCAGTGTCCTATTTCTCCCATGCTGGGAGGAAATGGCATCCTGAAGAAAACCTTTGGAATACATAGAAAAGTATGTGCAGGACTGACAGACACGGGAGGTGGAAGGAACTCTGTTAGTGCTGTCTGTATTAATACTGTAATGATTGCCGGGTCCTGGCTGTGTTTCTTCATCAACCATGACGGATTTCGAAGTGTTGGGCTTGAATATTTCTCAAGACTACTATAATAGCAACAAACCAAAGTGCGTTTTAGCAAATTACCATTTATCTTTCAAGATTGAGATTTAAATTCAAGTGGCACACAAAATCATGAGTTACCATATTTTGAAGAGTATATACTAACCTTCTATGGTCAGTTGAACTCAGGGGGTTAGTGTCTTTTATTTTAAAGTAGAACAGCACTTCCAGGAAGAATTGAGCTTTGTATTTCCTATTTTGAGTGTATGATAATCATGGATGCACTAAACAGTTTATCAGAATGAGAATATATTTAGTCCTGTATTTTGGAGTCTAGTGGAATTAGAAAGGGTAATACTTCACCTTCAGCTTCCTAGAATTTTGGATCTTGAGGGAGCTGAAATCCTTGAAGACAAGCTTTGAGAAAAAAGTTAAGGTTCAACAGAGTTATCTGTGATATTCCCCTTGTAGAATCCAGCTGGAATGAGTCTACCACAGCTGTTTTTGTGGTGGTGTTTTTGTTTTGTTTGTTCATTTGTTTTTCTTGCTGCAGGAGTTAAACGTGAGTCTGAAGAAGAGAAATCCTTTGGTGACTTTGTCATTGAGTCAAAAGATTCTCCTTACCGTACACTAAATTTCACCTTTGAGCCGTACGATTTCCACCGGTTAGTGGAAGTGAACCGCTACAATGTTCTGAACAGCAAGGACATTCTCTTCAAAACCTTAAACTTGGCTCTGCAAAGGAGAAGGTTGAATAAAGTTGTCAATACATCCAATACATGAGCAGCTCCTGTAGCTGAGGATACAGAGAGGCTGCAGTGTACAAATGCCATGTGGTTCAAGACAGAACACTGAAAACCCATCGCTGGAAACTGCCTTCTTGGGAAGGCCGTAGCACATGTGACACTGAAAATTTATTCCAGATAACAGATGCTCTTATGAAAACATGAGGGATGTACAGTACAACATGGATGTTGCTTTGTCGTCTGGAGAAGAGTAGGGAATTATCTAGCCCAGTATCTCATCTTAGAGTGTTGACACCAGACGACTAAGGAGATCTGTTTAAACAGATCAGGCATCTGGAGAACAGTCTTCTCAACTGCACTGAGTGAAGCACCTTTTTGTTAAAGGTGCGGCAGTGTTCTCTACTTTTATCTCTTTTTTTTTTGAGCCTCCCTCTGTGAAGTTTTGCAATTTAAATCATCTGCAAGGAACTCCACAGACTTGTAGCTATGCACAGGAAGAGGTAATGTGTCCTTTCACTTTCAACTTACTTCTGGCTGATGCCCGTGTACTTTCAAGATTGAAGGGTCATTATCTGCTTTCCATTTTTGCCATTCGTGGTTTCAAAGATCTCTGATATTTCCTTCCTACCCTTCTCAAGGATCATAATGGCTTTTAGTCTCTCAGAAGTTCAGTGTAGAGTACCTTACTTTGGTAATAGTTTGTTTTTGAGAAAGTAATAGTTCCCTTTTTTATCTTTAACAATTAAGGACACATCATGGGATTTTGTCGCTTCTTCCTGCGTCATGAGATGATGAAACTTCTCAAACATTTGTTTTTGAGAAAATAATAGTTGCCTTTTTTTATCTTTAACAATTAAAGACACATCATGGGATTTTGTTGCTTCTTCCTGCATCATGAGATGATGAAACTTCTCAAACGCTACAAGTCTTATCCTTCTGTATAAGAGGACAGAAGGCTCCTGTGAAGAGTTTGAACTAGATACTTTTTCCTTACGCTTGGGCTTGCAATTCAGCAAGAGCTTTGTTCAAGGAATTTCTCTGTGCTTATATATTTTAAAAAGATGAATATTCAAGGAAGGCACACCTTAAGAATGTGAATGAATAAAATAATGTCAGATGCTGCTATGCTGTAGGATGGAATTCGCCTCACTTTGCAGAAAGCTCAGAGAAAAGGACTGAATTATGCAGTTCGAAAATATCTAATACAAAAGGGCGGCAATCAAACACTGCTTCTAAGGCTTTTACATTAAGCTGAATGTACTGAATCTGTAGTCAAAAGCTGGAGGCAGGACATTTGTCTTTTCTGAAATGATGTAAAGGCTTATAAACCAGTATGATTCTTGATGCGCATTTTTAATAAAAGTCTCTTTTAATAAATAGTAGTTTTGGTAATGTGTTTTCCACACTTTTTTTTATGAACACTTGTCTTGATATATTTTCCCTATTCTAATAAAAGGTAAGCAAAAAAGTCAAAGTAATACTATATTGCCTAGTTTCTTTTATTACATCAGGATACCTGACAGTGGAAAAGTGACTTGCCAAGTCCATCTTGGACTGGTGCTGCACAGCAGTAGACAGTAATCTCTTCACTGTGAGACGTCTCTTTTTGAGGAAGCATGGCTCAAAACTGAATTTTTTAGGTGTATTTTAAGCGGTGATGTCATCTGGTTGGTTAAACTTCCCTTGATATCTTGAAGGACATATCCTTTATGTCCTTAGCAATTATTTACTTAAGTTGCTGTTTCTCTTATTTCAGCTTAATGTTAAGCTGAAATAAGAGAATGTTAAGCATTTTTGATTATACCTGGTGACGCGTGACTACCTGCTTTCTGGGATTTGGACCTCCATTGTATTTGCTGAGTGACTTTTGCATATTTTTCCACATAAGATTTTCAAGTATTCTTGTCTCAGTTGCCTTTCAGCCTGCCACCATGCCATGCCTTTGAATGTTTGTTTATAGTAGGATGGGAGCTGCTTTTCTTCCTTGTGAGTTGTTCCTTTTTTTTTTTCCAGATGTGAATTTGAGTTGAACTGCATGGTTTGCTTTACTTCTGTTTTCTTGTTTTTTAAGGTCCTTTCCTAACTGGAGATGCTTAGACACTGTGGAGACATAGGTATTTCGGTACCAGCCTATAGACAGGAAGGTGCAATATTTTTCTCCAAAAGCTGTACCTACTCAAGTTTGCTAGGCATGTACGATGTAGTCTTTTAAGGCACACCTTCTCTCAAAATTCTTCCATAGTGGCAGGGCTTCTTTGTTGGAACAAGATATGGGGCCCTAATAATTAATTTCAATTTTCTAAACTGGTATGTAAGTAGCCACTGCATTGTAAACTCCATGTTATGGCAGGAGAGTTCTCTGTAAGGTTGTCCAAAAGAACAAATTTTGTGTGTAGCACTCGAGGACCTGTTATGGCTGATGTTGGTGCTGCAGCAATGCTAATACTGAATACTATAAAAAAAATGTTTTATTTTAATTCCTATGGTAATACTGTAGTAGAAATGGGCACAGGATCCTGATCCCGACCATTCCATCTTTCTCTGAGCAGCTATTCACTTAGCTGCCTTTTCTGTCTCATTTTAATTCTTTCAAATGCGTTGCTCATAGTCTGTCTAAACCACACTGGAGGAAAATATCCAAGTCCTACAACTTTTAATGCACGTGGGTGATTGCATCTAGCTCCTAGTACACATTAAGGCCATGTGCAAGGCGGTTGCCCTTGCCCTGAGGTGTTAGGGGTAGTCCTAGCTCTGATTCTTCTGGCTGTTGGCTTTGGGCTCCTGGGGCAGCTCCAGGTCATCAGGGCACCCCGAACAGAACACTATACAAATTCAGTGCTCTCTGACTTGGTTGGCTTACTACCCTTGCTGTTATTGCTGTGGGCTCGAGGTTGAGCTGAGCAAGGCTCTGTGGCAGACAAGGTCTGAGCAATGCATCACTTAGGTTTGTAGACAAAAGGTATCTGAGTGGGACAGTCAGTTGTCAGAGCAGTTAAGTAGTGATATGAGATTTGCATCGTCACCATACAGTTGTCAGAGGGACCGACTGCACTCTGGGAATCAACTGAAGATGTTGAAGGAAGTGGGGAAACAGTGTCCTAATTAACAGCAGCTTTTTTTTTTTACAGCACTTTTGTATTTGCCCTGAGGCAGAATAACTTGGTTTATTCTAGTTCTTCATAAATGTTCAGAGTGAATGATCTATATAAGTGACAAGCATTTAAATGAACCTGGATTTACACACTCAAGGAGCTTAATTTATGTGCAGGAAGTAACAGCTCCTCAGGACTGTGTTTTTTCCTCTGTTCCAGGTAAGACATTTCTGTAGACTTAAATAATTAGTTTCTGAAGTATGGAGAACAAGGAAATAGTTTGTATATATCTCTCTGTACACACACACAAATATATATATATATATATACACATACATATATATATAAAGCCATGATAAACCTAGCAAAATATGGCAGGAAGCTAGTACTTAAAGGAGGGTGGAGTACTAATCTACTGCTTATTTTGTAGGAAACCACATGTGATGATTTGCAGAATAAGGCTTGGCAGCCATTCCTAGGGTAATGAGTTTCCAAAGGGTAAGGGAAGAACAAAGGGCTGATTCTGTTGGAAACCTCATGCCTTAGTTTATATAGTTCATAGTATTTCTTCACACAGTCCTTAAAAATGTGAAAAAAAGGATTGTACAATCATGTCTTAGTATATAAATTGAATGGAATTTCTTCATGACATCTTTAAACATGTAAAAAATGTATTGATTGCACAAAGCTGTCTATGAAAAATAGTGATGAACAGGTTGAGAGCTTGTGGGTGAAAATTAGGGGCTGAGCCAACAAAGGACACCTCATAGTTGGTGTTTACTCTAGGCCACCCAATCAAGGGAAGGATGACCAAGATAATACCAGAGTTAATTCCTAAAGAGCCTTAAAAATGTGGAAAACCCAATTCCACTGAGAAATAGGAAGTGACAAAATTTTCAAGGCGAACAACTGTGCTCTTGAGGATGTTAGTAAAAATTGGAAGTTGTAACAGTGAGTTAAATTGTCTAGCACTTAAATCACAATCACTTCACTTTGCTGTCCCTACAGCAGAATCACTTTAAAAAATCGTTTTAAAAAAACCTTTTGATTTGACCTAAGTGAATTAACGTGGTACTTCAGACTCTTAACAACCTGATTTTTCAGCTATGAGGGCTCTTAAAAAAGACGGTACTGACTGCACCTGCAAGACCACCTATTCATGTAAACAGGTGTTACAGATAAGGTAGCTTTCCTTTTGTGGGGTTGCTAGATTGCCAAAGACAAGAAGGTGTTTACATTGACAAAAATATGAGTTTCCCTTCCTCCACAGATTATGACCAAGTTATGTTCTAAGTAGCTAAGAAGCTTCTCCAGCTAAAGTTTCTTTGCAGCTGTAGTGCTTAGCAACTAAGACTTTATAATTCATTGTGCTGCTGTTCAAGTAGACAGTGAATTCTTATGTTTTCTGAATCATAGAATCACGGAATGGTTAGGGGTGGAAGGGGCCTTAAATACCATCTAGTTCCAACCCCCCTGCCATGGGCAGGGACACCTTCCACTAGACCAGGTTGCTCCAAGCCTCATCCAGCCTGGCCTTGGACACTTCCAGGGATGGGGCATCCACAGCTTCCCTGGGCAACCTGTTCCAGTGCCTCACCACCCTCTCCGTGAAGAACTTCCTCCTGTACTTTGGAAGATTTTTTTTTTTTTAAATAAAAATTCTGTGGATTTTTGAAGCCTGAAGCAGTGAAGGAACAGTATAAAATGGCTAATGGGATATCACAGACTATTAAGAAAACAGTGGCTTTATATGAAAATAACTGCTTTTTTTGTCTTCCCTTCCAGTGTCAAAGGCCAACAGCTATGGGGCAGCAGATACTGTGAATGCATTTTCTGTCGCTTCCCAAACACAGGTCTTACTGTAACTGCAGCGATTCAAAGTGGAATGAAACTTAAAATGCAAGCACCACA